TTATTGTGATGCTTCTAAGATGGGTTTAAGAGGTGTGCTTATGCAGAATGGTAAGGTAGTTGCTTATGCGTCAAGGCAGTTGAGGACTCATGAGAAGAACTATCCTACGCATGATTTAGAGCTTGTTGCAGTTGTTTTTGTGTTGAATATTTGGAGGCATTATCTTTATGGTTCTAGATTTGAAGTGTTTAGTGACCATAAAAGTTTGAAGTATTTGTTTGATCAGAAGGAGTTGAACATGAGGCAACGAAGATGGTTGGAATTGTTAAAGGATAATGATTTCGGTTTGAATTATCATCCAGGAAAGGCGAATGTGGTAGCTGATGCGTTGAGTCGAAAGACTTTACATATGTCAGCAATGATGATCAAAGAGTTGGAATTAATTGAGCAGTTCAGAGATATGAGCTTAGTTTGCGAGGTTACTCCGCAGAGTGTTATGTTGGGTATGTTGAAGATTAATGATGAATTTTTAGACAGTATCAGAGAAGCTCAGAAGTTGGTTGTGAAACTAGTAGATTTGATGGTTGGGATTGATCAGCTGAGAATTGTGATTTTAAGCTAGATGAGCAAGGTGTGTTGAGGTTTCGTAATCGAATTTATATTCCTGATGATGCTGAGATGAAGAAAGTGATACTTGAAGAGAGTCATAGAAGTAAGTTGAGTATTCATCCAGGAGCTACAAAGATGTATCAAGATTTGAAAGGTTTGTTTTGGTGGCCTGGGATGAAGAGTGACGTAGCTCGGTTTGTGTATGCATGTTTAACTTGTCAGAAGTCGAAAGTTGAACATCAGAAGCCTGCATGATTGATGCAACCGTTGGAAGTTCCTGAATGGAAATGGGATAGCATTTCAATGGACTTTGTGACGGGGTTGCCTAATACTTTAAGAGGGAATGATTCGATTTGGGTGATTGTTGATAGGCTTACGAAGTCAGCTCATTTTATTCTTATTAACATCAGTTTTCCAGTGTCGAAGTTGGCTGAGATTTATATTAGTGTGATTGTGAAGCTGCATGGCGTTCCTTTGTGCATTGTGTCAGATAGAGATCCAAGATTTACTTCTGACTTTTGGAAGAGTTTGCAAGAAGTGTTGGGTTCTAAGTTGAGGTTGAGTTTAGCGTATCATCCTCAGACAGATGGTCAAACTGAACGGACTATTCAATAGTTGGAAGATTTGCTGAGGGCATGTGTTCTCGAGCAGGAGGTTCGTGGGATACTTATCTTCCGTTGATAGAGTTCACGTATAATAACAGTTATCATTCTAGTATTGGGATGGCACCTTTTGAAGCGTTGTATGGCCGGAGATGTAGAACTCTGTTATGTTGGCATGAATCTGGAGAAAGTGTAGTACTTGGACCTGAACTTGTTCGTGAGACTACTGAGAAGGTGAAGTTGATTCGAGAAAAGATGAAAGCTTCTCAAAGTAGACAGAAGAGTTATCATGACAAGCGAAGGAAAGATTTAGAATTTCAAGCTGGTGACCATGTGTTTTTGAGAGTTACACCTGTGACTGGTGTTGGGCGAGCGTTGAAGTCTAAGAAGCTCACTTCTAGTTTTATTGGACCGTATCAGATTTCAGAGAGAGTGGGGAATGTTGCTTACAGAGTGGATTTACCGCCTAATCTTTCGAATTTGCATGATGTGTTTCATGTGTCGCAACTTCGGAAGTATATTTCAGATCCATCTTATGTGATACATATGGATGATGTGCAAGTACGGGATAATCTTACGGTGGAGACGATGCCTGTACGAATCGTGGATCGTGAAATGAAGACTCTGAGGGGAAAAGAGATTGCTTTGGTTAAAGTGGTTTGGCTAGGAGCTGCTGGTGAAAGCATGACTTGGAAATTAGAGAGCAAGATGCGAGACTCTTATCCTGAATTGTTTGATTGAGGTAAATTTTCGAGGACGAAAATATTCTAAGTGGGAGAGAGTTGTAACGTCCGTAATTTAATTAATTATTTAATTAAATTATTTTTAGAATATTTGTGAAGAAGTGTTATCAAATTGGATTTATTTTATTAAGTGGAGAAATAATAATATTAGAGGTATAATATTACTATTTGGTGAAATAATGTTAGAAGCTAATATTACTTCATGTGGGCCTATATTGTGTGAGTGGAAGTAATAAGGGGGTGTAGGTTTGGAGCCCAATAAGAATAATATAATAATATTAGGTTATTTTATTATTTGTGAGAAAGAATAGAAGGAGGAAGCAGTAAGAAGAGAATAAGGATTTGGAAGAGAACGTGAAGCTGCTGGAAATAGTGGAAAACAGCAAGAACAAAGATTCAACCCGGAAATTATAGAGAGACCTTCAATCCAAGGTAAGGGTGGGGTTCTGACTTTATAATTGGGTTCATGACATTTGATATGTGGAGTTAGATGTAATTGTTGTTTGTTCTTGAATTGGATGTGTTATGAATGATGTATGGTGAATATTGATGAATTCTGGATGAATAATGACGTTATGATGTTGTTTAATCGATGTAGTATTATAGGTTAATGATTAGATGATGAATTACCATGTTTATGATGAGGTTTGTAGGATTGTAATTGAATCCCTATAGTGAAAATACAAAAGCAAATCGTGGAAGAATACAGGAAATAACAGGATGCATCGATTCATGGAAACATGCGTCGATACATAGGCACTGTTAGACTCAGGATGAGTCGATCCGTGGAGGGCTTGCGTCGATGCATGATGAGTACAAGACTCTGGATGAGTCGATCAGAGAGGAGCATGCATCGATACATGTTGTGATTAGGACCAGGATGAGTCGATCCATGAGGAGGATGTGTCGACTCATGCTATGCAGGAGAAGCATTACGCGTCGATCCCAAGGGTTTTGCGTCGACCCATACTGACTAACAGTGACAGAATCAATTTTAAGTTGTTGTAACTTGAGTTGTAGGATGCTGTTTGAGATGTCGTTCGAAGCGTTGATTAGCTAACGCGGTGAATATTATTCTAGATGATTTAAATGATGAATAAGAAGTGTAATCCTAGTAACTAGTTTAGGATTTAGGATTAATTCCCGTGATTGACAGTTATGCTGGATTTTGGACAGAATGATGAATATGAGATGTTAGAGACTGTTGTTAGAAATATGACAGTAGGATTAGTGACAATAATGATGTACAGTAGCAGAATAACAGTATGGATTACTGTACTATTGATATACTACTGAGTTATTAGTGAGATGTGGTTATTAAAGTTGTGTTTGATAATTATGATGAACCAATGACGTTTGATAAATAAATGATGTTTAATAAATTATTTTGAGATGTTTATGAGATGTTGTTGTTTTGAGATGTTTATGAGATGTTGTTGTTTTGAGATGTTTATGAGATGTTGTTGTTTTGATATGTTTATGAGATGTTGTGTTTTGAGATGATTGAGATGTTGATATTACATTCATGAAGAGTCGCATACATTGCATTTTTGAGATGGAGCTTATGCTCGTTGAGATGGCCTGGATTGACAAATTTTGAGATGAAGGCTATGCCTTGTTGATGCCTCTATTAATTGGCAGGTTTTTGAGATGGGAGTTCTGCTCCAATGGTACCACATGCATTTGCATAGTTTTGAGTCGCATTATATGGTTGATAATGAAATGTATTTGATGTTGATGAACGGGTATATATGCTGTAATTATTGATGATTATGAGATGAGAAGTGGTGATGTTATTGATCTAATTTAATATACTAATTATCATGCGCTTTATTATATTGTTAGATATCTCACCCCTTCTGTTTGAATGTTGCCCTTATGTTGGTAACGTGCAGGTAATCGAGAGTGAAGGTCGTATACCTTCAATAGATCGAGTCGGTGTCATTGTTCTGATATGTAACAATCGGGGGGATGAACGCTTGATGATTTTTGATTGCTGATTTTTAGTTGTTGAACTTTAAATTGTTTATTTACTAAATATGAGATGTTTCGAAGTTGCTGTTTTATTTAAAGATGTTATTGAAGAATTCTGCTGCGTAGTTGTTGAATTATTTAATGAAAGATGTTATGTTGATGGTTCATCCGATGTTTTGAAAAAGTGTTATATATCCATGATGAATGCAATGATAAATTTTGATTAAGTCTCTCAAAATCCTCCTCCAATATAAATTTTGATTTCTTCTAAATTAGAGTTTTTAGTGTTATGAAGAAAAACAAACCCTCCAAAATCCTCGTAAGCAAAATCTTCCTACTCTTTTCACCTAATCCCTCCTATTTTTCAAAACTCTTTCCTCCATTCTTCTTCAAACTAAAAGTGAGGCAGTTTAGTATTATACATGGGAAATGTAGGGTATTTTGAGATTGTAGGGAGGGTATTTTGAGATTGTAGGCAAAATATCTTTTTTGGTTTCGTATGTTAATCTCAAAGTTCATTTTGATCTCTTAACTTAAAAAAAATTTATATTAGTCTTTTAACTCTTTAAAAAGCTTCATTTTATTCCTTTTTATCTAATTACTGATGAATTTAGCGACTGATTTATGAGTTTTACCGTCGTTAATTAAACAAAAAAGACTAAAATGAAGTGTTTTTAAGAGTTAAATAACCAATATGAATCTTTTTAAATTAAAAGACCAAAATAAAGCTTGACGTTAACATACAAACAAACAAAAAAAAAAGATATTTTGCCTAAATTTTATTATACTCAATCAGAAAATGAAGATACATGACTAATATATCAAGTTCACATTACAGTTTCTTCTAAACATTTGAAAAACGAGATCTTTATTACATTTGTCAAACATGATTTACAGTAACTTTAGGAATATGATCCCATTGCATGGGGTTCTGGTGTGGTAATAAAAGCAGGTTTCTCCTACCATGTGGAAACATTTCCCTTGTTTTAAGCAAAGGGCCATGTGTTATTACACAAATCTCATTAAATAACTCAGAAACTTGTATCCTTGTAGGACAAAAAATAATAATCTGTTGAAGAAGAAAATGTTTCAACAATGACTTGTGTTCAATGGTGAAATTGGCAAAACTTCATTAAGAACTTTCCCCAGAATTTATATTCAATATTCTCTCTGCCAGTAATAAATCATCAGGCGTAGTCACCTGCAAAACATTGCAAAAAGTTTATATATTTTGTCAGGCCACACTTAAGTGCTAGTGATAGATATAGCACTTATTCACCGAGTACTTGTCAGCCAAAATCCATGTTGAACCATAAGCTACACTAACCAGCTTCTCAAAATCACGGTGAAAACGGTCTTTGACGTGTGCCAGTGGTAACCCACTGGGTTACCAAACAAAGGCTACAAAGCTTTGTATAGTAATAAGAATATATGACTAGCCACTAAATATCCAAGAGAGAATATAGTTGACTACCTTGATGTTGGTATAAGATCCTTCAGTGATATAAACAGGCTGTTTAAGGTGCTCCACAATGGACACATCATCGGTAACTTCAAGACCTTCTCTGCGAGGAAGGAAGGTTGTACATAGAATACCAGTTAGTTTCTGAAAGGAAACATATCTTCTAAACATTGTTATGAATAATGAAACCAAATTGTCTAAACTTGTTACCACATATTTTTCAATTTTGAAGGTTCATAAATAACTGAAGGATAGGATACTTTGCAATTAAATTAAGCATACAACTAAGAAACTACCTATTTACAAGCTCAAAGCCTTTCCTCAGCAACTCGGGTTTGATAACCTGCAAAAGTTAGTAAGTATTGTAAACAGTTGACTAGGTTTCCAAAAACAATTGAGATATATATTGTCATCTTTTGCAATTAGACCTGTGGGGTCTGCATCTCCCATAGCGTTTTTCTGTCCAGTGTTCTAACCACAAATGAATCAGCGTTTGCCTGCAGAAAGATAAGTTTACAAACATCATTATTTTCAAGTCCATCAAGGGAATGCGACAAAATTACATGCATATATATGCCCAAACTCAAAATGATGATTTCATTCTTCATTAGATGACATTCATTCTTGCATGCACAACTATGCTCATAGTTATTGATACTTAATCAAGTATGAACTAACAAAAATAAAACAAAGATTTAAATCATGTCCACAGTTGTAAAGCTAACTGTAAATGGAACAACAGAATTTAACCTCTAAACAAATTTTGAACTTAAAAAAGCATCAAAATGGTTTTAGAAGAATGTTAGTTGTGCAAAAATACTTTGTTTCAGGCCAACAAAATCACTAATTTCTATCAATAATTCATGGCTTCATGCCTTTCTCATTGTTATTTCTTGTATATATAGAGATTACAGAGCTATCCAGATAATTACACTAAATAATTACATTTAATGAGAACAAATCAATTTCTAATTTGTTTCTCTTATTCTAGGAACAAACCCTTATTCTAACTACTTATTCACATCCCCCCTCAAATTAATACGTCTGGTCAATGAGCATCAATTTGCTAACAAGAAACTGATGACGTGAACGCAGAACAGCCTTGGTAAGAATATCTGCAAGTTGCAACTGAGTATTGACATGAGGAAGTGATATTAGTCAGTCATCATATGCGTCACAGATTGAATGACAATCAACTTCGATATGTTTGGTGCGTTCGTGAAAAACAGGATTCGCAACAATCTGAATGACACTTGTATTGTCAGCAGAAAGTGAGGTTGACTCTATTTAAGGAAATCCAAGTTCAGCCAGATGACCACGAAGCCAAATTATTCCAAAACAAACAGTAGACATGGCATGAAATTCAGATTCAGTAGAAGATTTAGAGACTCTCGCTTATTTCTCATTTTTCCATGAGATCAATGAAGAGCCAAGAAACATGCACCAACCAGTGACAGATCGCCGAGTATTCGGACACCCTGTCCAATCTGCATCACTATAAGCACTCAATTTAGGAGTAGTTCTAGCGGGAAAGAATAAACCACGATGAGAGCTTCCATTCAAGTAGCGAATTATGCGACGAACTGCTGCCAAGTGAAGATGACGGGAGAGTGCATGAATTAACTTACTTGTTGAACAACAAAGGATATGTCAAGACGGGTAATAGTCAAGTAATTAAGGCTACCCACGAGTTGACGATACAATAAGGGATCAGTCAAGAGATCACCAGCATCACGATGATATTTAACATTAACCTCAAGAGGAGTATCCACTGGATTAGCCGATTGGAGACCAGTCATAGAAATTAAATCTGTGGCATACTTGTGTTGATGGAGGAATAAGCCTTTGGATGTAGAATGAACCTCAAGACCAAGAAAATAATGCAAATTACCAAGATCTTTCATATGAAACGCTGCTTGTAACTGTTGTTTAAGGCTTTGAATGGAAGCATGATCAGAACAATGATAATCATATCATCAACATACAGAAGAAGTAGGACGATTCCAGTAGACGTTCTATGAATAAATAGAGAAGAATCATACTGACTCTGAGTAAAGGAGAACCCAAATAGAGTGAAGCGAAATTTTTCATACCATGCTCTAGGCGCTTGTTTCAAACCGTATAAGGAGCGTTTGAGCTTGCATACACCCTTAAATGACAAAAATAAACCTTGAGGAGGAGTCATATAAATATCTTCCGCTAGGTCACCATGAAGAAAAGTATTTTTCACATCTAATTGATGAAGAGCCCACCTATTAGAAGCAGCTATAGAGAGTACTATACGAACATATGTCATTTTGGCAACCGGTGCAAATGTCTCATCATAATCAATTCCATATTCCTGCTTGTTTCCTAAGGCAACCAAGCGAGCCTTGAAACGGTTGAGGGACCCATCAGAATTCAATTTCACATAATACACCCATTTACAGCCAATGGATTTGACATCAAGAGGACAAGAGACAATATCACATGTGAAATTCTCTTAAAGAGCTTGAAGTTCCTCATTCATTGCTTTTATCCAACGTACATCTTTAACAGCCTGTGAATAGAAAGTAGGAATAGATATGCTAGAGAGTGTGGCAGTCAGAGAAGTATGTGAGGAACCATACCTGTTTGGTGAATATCTATCTGGTGCTCGAGATATTCGAACAAAATGTCATGGTTCAACCGTTACAGGATCAGGTGGCGGTTCAGCGTCGGGAAGGGCGTGGGAACCTGCTGTTTGTGTTTTCTGACATATACATGACCTGGTTTATAACGTTCTATAGATTGAGGCATAATAGAAAATTTAGGAAGAGTAACAATATCATTTATAACAGGAGAAACACATGGAAACATAAACTGATTATCAAAAAATGCCACATTCCTACAAATGCGAAAACGATGGTTAGTGACATCATAACACACAAATCCCTTATGAGAGTGACTATACCCCATAAATGCACATTGAACAGACTACATTCCAAGCTTATGCCTTTCAAATGGAGGTAAGTGAACAAAACAAACACATCCAAAAGTATGTAAATCATTAGAATTGGCTGAATTTTAAAAAGGCGAAGAAAAGGAGAATCGAGATCAATAACCGTAGAAGGAAGACGATTGATCAAGAAGACAACTGTGGAAAGAGCCTCCACCCAAAATCGGGGTGGTACTGAAGCTTGAAGAAGTAAAGTGCGTGTCACATCAAGCAAATGACGATTCTTGCGTTCTGCCATCCTATTTTGTTGGGGGATATTGGGACAAGATTGTTGAGACAAAATGCCTTTTTGTTGAAGAAATTCCTGAAATTCACGAGACACGTACTCACCACCAGAATCAGAGTAAAATTTTTTAACACTTCCATGAAATTGAGTTTCAACATATGTCAGAAATTTCTTAAACATAGAAACCACTTCAGATTTAGACCGAAGAAAATATATCCAAGTAAAACGACTATAATCATCAATAAATGTGACAAAATATTTATAGCGAGCATGAGAAACTACAGGAGACATACCCCATACATCACTATGAATCATTTCAAAACAAGAGGAAGCCCGATAAGCACCAGACAGAAAAGGGAGTGTTTTACTACTTTTAGCCAATTTGCAAACAGAACATGAAATGGAAGTCGTGCTAACATTTTTATTTCCCAACAAACCAGTTTAAAATAACTGAGACAAAACAACAGAATTTGGATGGCCCAATTTTCTATGTCAATCCTCATACGAGCCCAAAACACGATTACAAGCAAAAGATAAATGACTAGAACTAAACTGGAGCAGAAACAATCTTTCTACTTTAGGCCCTTTCGCGATCACCTTCCCCGACATCTGCTTCTGCACAACACAACCAACACGAGAAAAATTAACATTGCAATTGTTATCCACCAATTGACCAACCGACAATAAGTTGGAGGGAAGTCCGGGTGATACAAGCACGTCACGAAAGTTAGAGTTTATGTCACCAACATCAGTGGTAGAAAGTTTATTACCATCAGCAATTTGAATTTGCTGATTACCATTATAAGAATGTAAATTGTGCAAGTATTCAGAGAAACCCGTCATGTGATTGGATGCACCGGAATCAAGAAACCATGGTTGAGAAATATTAGAAGACTTACCCTGAATTCCCAAGGCAGAAAGAGCAGAAAGTACCATTTGTTGAATTATTTCAAGTTGTAGAACACCACCATTAGATGCACCAGCAGTCAGAGAACCAACTGTAGAGTTGGTAGTTGCATGGAATACTTGGACTGGTCGTTGTGCTGATCGGGGAGGACGCGTGGGACAGTCAGAGATGATATAACCCTGTTGTTTGCAATAGTTGCAAAACTTCTTACTGCAGCTGCGAGCAAAATGTCTAAATTGTTTGTGTTAAGAGTCTCACATCAGACAATATATGGCCTGAACATGTGTTTATAAGTGGGGGCAATCCTCACCCTACAAGCCGGTTTTGTAGGGTTGAATTAGGTCCAACCACATCTTAATATGGTATCAGAGTCTCGTTTAAGATCCAGTGGACCATCCACCATTTATTTCCACGCTCCAGTTGTCTAGTCCTGGGCGTGAGGGGGTGTGTTAAGAGTCCCACATCGGACAATATATGACCTGAACATGTGTTTATAAGTGGGGGCAATCCTCACCCTACAAGCCGGTTTTGTAGGGTTGAATTAGGCCCAACCACATCTTAATAGTTTGCAAGAAAAACATTGGACTTGTCGCATATCACAACCCTTTCCTCTGCTCTGAGCAGCATATGCAACCGTCACAGGCTCAGATGTGATAGCATCATGAGACATGGTGTCTTGAGTCCGCCAACACAAGTATCCAAGGAAGGAACAAGATTTCTATTCAGCAAAGCTCCTCTGACAACCTCAAATTCTGGACGAAGCTTCATGAGAAATTGATCACGCCCACTTGTGTTGTAGACCTCTTGGACAGCCGCGAGAGAAGTTTTGGGAACATCAGCATGTATAATAGAAGAGTGTCTTGTCCGCAAATTCAAAAAATTAGAATAGTATTCTTGAACAGACAAGGTACCTTGTTTGTAATTAGATATCTCTAACTACAACTGAAAACGCTTGGCCGCATTGTTCTGATTGTAAATATGTTTCAAATAGTCCCACATTTCTTGAGCAGTGGAAAAGGAGCGCAAATTATTAATCATTTGAGGATCAATACTACTCAGAATCCAAGTGATAACCTAAGCATCTTTATATTCCCATTCTTCTAAAGTAGCTTTTTCTGTCAGTGCTTTAGAGACACCGTCCAAGTGACTCCATAATTTCTTTCCTTTGACATGCATTCTGAACTGAAATTCTCAGACAGAATAATTTTTCCAGTAAAACGAACACAAACACGATCTCTTTCTTTTTCGGAAGCCATAATAATAGAGATGAACAAAAACTAAACCACGTGAGCAATTGAAAGCCACAGGCTGAGTTGTGAAACAGTGAGTAGTGAGTAGGCACTGACCACTTAATAACAGAATGAATATTTTTTTTAATCAATCTGAAGAAAACGTGAAACAAAAAAATACCAACGTGAGTAGGCACAACTGCACGTAACAATTTTGTGTGAAACAAAGTTACGGTACACTGAAGAAAATACTTGCCGACACCAGATCAACACCCCAATTCAGGACACGTGCAGACACCGATACGAGAACACGATCAAATCAAACACGATTTTAAGCACCAGAGATTACCGATATAATTTCAATTACCGAGAACCGAGATGATTTCAATTATAGAGAATCGAGATCTACCGAGATGATTTCAAGAGCGACCCAGTGGAGTGTTGCTGAATAAAGCCAAGATTAACCTAAAACTCACTGATACCATGTCAATAATTCTTGGTTTCATACATTTCTTATTGTTATTTCTTGTATATAGAGAGATTACAGGGCTATACAGGTAATTACACTAAATAATTATATTTAACGAGAACAAATCAATTTCTAATTTGTTTCCCTTATTCCAAGAACAAACCCTTATTCTAACTACTTATTCACAATTTCCCTATACATACCGCTTGTGTATTGATTTGCAAAGAAAAAACAGGTTTATATTAGTTTAGAAGAAATTCGTGTTCATTAGTATTTGGGAGCTTTACTAGTTGTTTTGTTTAATCATTTAAGTGCACCTTGATATGGTTTCTTAGTCTCTTGTGGTTGTGGCAGAAAAATTTGCAAGAAATGAGCTTAAGGATCAAAGCTAGAATTTTGGAGGGCTACTGGAAAAAAAATGAACCTGCCTCTCCCAATTCAATTCCTAGGCACTAAATTTAAATGCCTTTTCACATTAGGTTAGAACCAAACATGTTGTTGCCACCTTAGTGGCTAGGCTCCCATAACTAATATCTAGGCACTCCAACCACAAATCAGAATCTTCTCATCTGCATGGTGTGCGCTTAGGCTCTCAGAAATGGGTGCTTAGACAGTAGGCACCCAGAAAAATGATAAATGCCATTTAGTGCTATAAATATCACTTTTCTGCATTTTTTAGAAGGGGGGTGCACATCATACTCAAGGGCAAGGAGACTGAGATTTTAGGGTTATCAAAGGAAAATTTTGAAAGATTTTATTTTCACTGGATTCATCACCTATTTCTTGAAGATGGCTAAGTAATTTTCACCTATTTCTTGAGGATGGCTAAGTAATTTTCACCTCTTTTGTTTGCCAATTGTCTTTATAATTAATAGATAAATAAAATTCACCAGCCACTTATAATAATTGTAAGAATAGCACTTGCAAACAACTAGCGAATACCTCTTTGATTGTGGCCTTCGAAGGAACACCGAGAACAGCAGCTCCATTCAACAATCCATCTTTAAGGACCTTAAAAACAATATAGATAAGTAATCTAAGTAGGCAGGTTAGCTGAATATATGTTATGATTCATTTTTTATAACAAAAGAGCTCAGACCAAAATATGTCAAAAGTACAGACACAAAACATGTCATCATGTCGATCTAAATAACACGAGCCCTTACACAAAGACTCAGCCTTGACAATGGTCGTCATTTAATTCCAAAGATAAAGAAAGACTCAGCATGATTTGTAAACTTCTGAGTGATTAAGGTGCAAATACTAAAGCACATAGTTCCATGAAATGTTAAGTTGGTATTTCCATGAAATATCGCTGCTTGTAGGTGGGAATTCTTCCATAACATTCTCATGCATAACATTCAGAAAAATTAAGCGGTGAACTTAGTAAGATATGCGAGAGAAACTTATTAAACCCAAACCTTATTCACATCTCCTTGTAGCACTAAAGGTCTTGCAGAATCATGGACGCAAACAAGCTCAGAGTTAGAATCAATAACCTGTAAAGAAAGGTAACTATGAATATATAAGGAGAGTGTAAAAGGGATAAATAAGTGAAAACCAACATGAAATAAAGAAATGTTTGCAGAAATTTCCCAACTTTAATTAAATAAGCAAACCAGATGTTATCGCGACAACAACAGTTAATCACTATCTTACAAGGACTTCAAGATTTTGAACATTCTGTTTTATGAGTATGAAAATTTGGATTTTTATTTTCAAAATTTGGTGACCAGAATGCTAACTTACTAACGAAGTTTTTTTACAAACATTATCTTTGATTTCCAGAATCCTAACAATGTTTCAACGCAGATTCACTGAAGCTGCAAATCATAGAGTTAACAAACTGCGGATCTACAGTGCTCCTCAATTCTCCACGGTCACAGTGATATTATTTTGACTCTGAATTGATCTCATCATCACAAGATTAAATAAAAACAAACAGCACATACCTGAAATCCATTGTAAACAGAATCCTGTCTTTCTTTTCCTGGCAGTGCAAATTTGAGTTCTGCTTGGCAATTTCCTTTCACATCTGAGGGAATAAAAAAAAGAATATTAATAGCCAAGAGTGAAAGACATAGTTTATGAAAGAAACCAAAGGTGAAGAAAGAAGAAACCTTCAAAAATGTCCCTGTAGGAAGGATCACAAACAACAACGATTTCTTTGACTTCAGGCATGCGAGAAAAAGTCAAGAAACTGCAGAGGATTGACAGATTCTGTAATTAAATTATATTGAAACGAAATTAAACACATTGCAAAGCATGTAAAGTGAGTGAAGATGTGAGCCAAGTAAAATGAATACAGGATACTACATTATATCATATCTCTCAGAAGCATGTTCTTTGTTTTGCTGTTAAATTCAATGATAACCCCTTCCACATAAAAAGAAGTAGATTATGTAATCACGATTTGGTTACGCCGGAAGCATATAAACAAAGGTGTTATTATGAAAGTGAGATGAGAACATGATTATCACCTATAAAGTGCAATGGGTTGACCCAACAGAGGAAGATACTGCTTTGGCATGGTAGCCTATAATTATACAACAAGAAATAAACACATAAGAAAAGCTGATTCATGTAATAAATTTAGAAGAAAAATCAAAATACTAATAATAACAAAAAATAGATATCATACTCCCATCCTCTTCCCCTTGCCTCCAGCAAGTAAGACAACTGAAACGCTTCTTTCTTTGACAACAACATCAGAGTCCTTCTCCTAAGAAAACAAAACACCTCAACCTCTTAGTTTATCCATCTCAGATAACAAAATCGAAAGGAATCAAATCGGAAGGACTTACTTGAGCGGGAAGTGCAGAGCAGAGAATTAACCTCCTTGAGCTTGATTTTGCAACAGATAATCGATTTTTGTTTAAGCAGAATTTACGACCTGTAGTTGCAGTAAATGGTTTATTGATTGTTGTTGGTAACGCCAATCTCAAAAGAGAAGAACAACGTTCAAACTTAATCAATTCCATTTCAAAAGGGACAATGAAATTTTGGATGCTAAGTACACCCTGTATTTTCGCTTTTATTTTCTGGGTACATAAAATGGGCCTGGGCAAATAGTTTGGGCCTGGCCCATTATGTTTAGTTTAGAAAACAAAAGGAAGAGGAGAGAGGATCGATCGATCGATCTGGGAGAAGAAGAATGGGAGCAGGAAAGAATACGGCAGAGTTCTTCAGGAGGAGAGACGAGTGGAGGAAGCACCCGATGCTTGGGAATCAGTTTCGTCACGCTACTCCTGGCCTCGGCATCGCTCTCGTTGCTTTCGGTGTCTACCTCGTCGCCGAGCAGGTCTACAACAAGACCAATGCTTCTTCCTCTTCTCACCATGTACTGTTCTCTCTCCTTCCGTTTTTCAATTAGGGTTTTCTTCGAATCCGTTCTATTGCATCAATTGAGGGTTTCATTTTCTTCCTTCACCTCTCGCTTTTAATTGTACAACCTGTCGATTCAATTTCATATGAATAGATTTTCATTATTGCTGTTGCAGGTGAAGGCTGGGGAACACTGAGGAGGAAATTCATCGGTTCATCGTTTTCCTTTTGTGTTTGTTTGTTTAAATTGTTGGTTAAATAAGCTTACTTTGCAGGGGTTTTCCTACAAAATGTAATTTGCTTTGGTCAAATTTTAGACTCTCCATAATGAATGAATCTATGTATGATAACATTTTATGTCTCACTCATTTTTTTGAGTGAATGACTTGCAATTCAGATATGCTCTACTCCGCTAGCTAAATTCTTTATGCTTGTATGAAATCACTTGTGCTTGACCGGTCTATGTTATACATACCTTTTTCATTTCATCACAAAGCCAAACAATGGCAGTATGACAAAACTAACAACAACATCACTAGTTTAAAAGTCAGTAGATACTTTTAATGTGGTTTTGTTCCTTACTTTTAATGTTTTTTTTTTCTGATTCAAAAAGACATGTTTATGCTGAGTAGTATAATACTCTGCACATTTCTCTGTACATTTGAACTTTTTTTGTATAAAAAAAATGGCGAATCCTGTTATTATAACAGAATCACAATTTGGCAATTCATTCTTGGCAATACATTTGAACTTTTTTCTTGTTCTAATAGTTTTTTAATGGTATGAACTTGTCTGTTGCAATACTTAGTGTGTTTGCTGCTACTGTTTGGATTAATTCCTTCTACATGTTTTTTAATTTTGATTGGTTTTTAAGGATTAATTCCTTTTACATGTTTTTGATTGGTTTTTAAATATTTAAATTATTAATTATATTTTTTATTAATAATGTGGCTCATTATTTTTTTTTAATTAATAATTTTGCTTACTATATAGCCACGGTTGTTCAAATGGTGATAATGATGTAGTGTACTGTTTTTTTGCGAAGCCTCGTACTAGAATAATCACTTTCCTAATAATTGATATTAGTGAGATTTTACTTTTTAAATAATTTTTAAATTTTTTTTCTTTCATTTGTGCCAAAAAAAACTAAGTTTGATGTAACAGTATACTATATTATTACAAATTAACAAACGAATCTTTCCATAGCCATGAGTTTTAGTGGGGTAACAGTACCTTTAGTTTAAATTTAAACGCATTGCATATTATTATTTAATTCGATAAGAGTACCGGTACCAAATTTATTTATATTACAAATTAACAAACAAATATTACGGTTTGATTCAATTAAGTTCAGATGGTTCTCATCTAAAGCTAATAATGTTAGAAAAATTAAATCTAATTTTTGAATGGTTCTAATCTAAAGCTGATAATTCTAGGAAAATTAAATCTCGTTGATTTTAATTGAGTACCTATACCTGCATACAATGTAACATTGATATTCAATGACATTGTTTTAATATTATTTTATTTTTAAAATAAATAAAATTTTAAATTTATCTAGGATTGGTATCCAACCATAAGTCATTAATGCTAAAGAATTTACATTTTTAAAGCCACGTGAATCAACCCATCAATAAAAAACTAAAAATTACTAAAATATATGCATGCATCACTTGAGTGTAGCTAAATCCGTATGAAGTATGTGACAGTGATTTGTTCATGATTGACAGAGTGATATGATTAGCATATACTGCAGCAGAGATAGTTCCATATGTTGTACTACTTACGTCAGAAGGATCCGTATAGGGACTACAGAAAATGAAGTTTATATATAGGTCTAAACACAATTAACAGAAAAAAAGAGATCCTTGTGTCCAAAAGAGAATTTCTATTTATTATTATAACAACACTTCAACAAATTTGTAGAACCAAAGCCATACTGTAACAGAAAGAAAAAAAACAGAGATCCTTGTATCCGAGAGAGAAATCCTATTTATTATTATCACAACACTAGGACAAATTTGTAAAAGCAAATCCATATTGTAATAATACATCTATAACAAATCTATCTATCTAAAGTTTCCCATTAGAAGCATATTGAATCCAAGAGGATGATGGTTTTTGCCTGGCTTCAATGATTGCAGCTGGAGCTGTGTATGATGAATATCCACCATTTGCTTGATCGAAACATAGCTCAAGACCTGAGGAGTGGCTTGAACATTCGATGCAACACCCCCTATATCAATGTGTCTGAACACACCAGTTTCAGGGCAAAATGAGACCAGACATTGGGAATGTGAATGTGAATCAGAATCAGCTCTGAGCCACATATCTCCACAATTGTTGAATCCAATTGGTCTGTGCTTGTCCTGAGGACTCAATCCACAGTAAGACTTTATATCAATACTGAACGCCTTTCTCCATGACTCTTTCACACCATAATTCTCCATCAACCATGTCTCGAATTTCGCACCCTCGATCACATAGCACAAACACAAACAACCTTTTAGCACACCAACACTGATTCCTGAGATCTTACTGACATATTCCTCGTGGAAGTGCGACGGCGGTGGGACTGAACCGAATTTGTTGCTGTTGAGATCAAAGGAACATATCAATTGAGAACCGGTATCCTCAGTGACCCAATGAATTGCACCATTGAATGAGGGATCAAAGGAACAATTTTTGGACTTGGGTTTTGCAGAGGGAGCGTTTGGAATCACAGTCCACTCGCTATCCCTTGAATCAGATTGGTACATTTCAGCGACGATTTGATCCGATTTGGAAACAAAAACAAGCTGAATAATTTTGAAACTCTTGTTTTTGGGATCAAAGCCAAAAGCCGAAAAACGGAGATTTTCATCTGCAGAACTTAAAGCAGGAGGAACAGGAAGAAGCTCACCCAACAAAGGATTACATAGGTAATAAAGAGAGCGAGAGTGATAATTAGAAGCGCGTAAACACAAAAGACCGTTGCTAGAGTTGATCAAATTCATACGGCGATTGATATGAAACGTAACAAACCTGGTTCGTCTATTAAGCGATCGTTGTTGAGCGAGACGAATCGGGGTTGCGGTGGTGGTGATTTTGCTCCGCTTTGAATCGGATGAATAAGACGGTTGCAATTGCATGGCCATACAAGACGATCCGTGATACGAATTAGGAACCGATTGAATTTGCGTAGAAGATGAATCGATACAGGTGAGAGAATTGTGATCGGAGAGAACAACGAAGGAAATTGGGGCTTTTGAGAAATAGGACTGTTGAAAGGAAGTATCGGAAACGATGGATTTGAATCGAGAACAAACGGAGGAGCATCGAATTAGGGTTACAGCGGGTAGTTTGAGCATGATATCGAAGAGGATGTGATTGGGAATGTCGAGGATGTGAAACCCTAGGTCTGGTTCACTACCTCTTTTCACCATTTTCGTTTTCTGTTCCAATAATTACTAGAAACACCCCCCCTTTGTTTCTCTCTCTAGTAAGAGTTAACACGCACAACCATGTTATGTAATCTACTCTCTCTCATTCCTTCTTCTTAGTACTCGCTAAGCATTCTCCAATCCAATTTATAGACCAAGTCAAGTTAACCTAAATCTTTAAATAATTATAATTTCTCTGCATTTTACTCATTAATCAATATTCACAAAAATTACATCTATCATCAATTTTTTTTATTTTATACTAATATGTATTAAAATAAGACTGCTTAATATTTTAATGTTGACTGTTTTTCTATTTTATTATAACTAGATACATTTAATCTCTAAAATATTATTTATAATGATTTTTCTATATAGAAATATGATAATAAATTGTTTCATGCTCCAAATACTAGTATTTAATATCAAAATATTAAGAAAATTCATTTAATCTTGACCAAATAAAATAAAATTCATTTAATAAATTTATTTTAATTTTGTAACTTATATAAATATATATTTTTCTCAAAAATATTACTTATAATAAATTTTCTATTTATAAATATGATAATAGATTGTATCATGGTCAACATACTGGAAATATTTAATATCAAAATATTGTGATAATTCATTTAATATTTTTTTTAGTCAAGAATAATTTTATTTTTTCTTTTGACTGAAATTTAAAATAAATTTTCTCAAGAATATTATTTATAATAAATTTTCTAAATGTAAATATGTTAAAAAATTGTTGGATCAAAATATTAGAAATATTTAATATCAAAATATTAAACAAATTCATTTAATAATTTTATTTTTCTTATGACTAAAATTTAATTTTGTTTTGTAACTCATACAACTATATGTAGTTTTTCAAAATATTATTTATAATAATTTTTTTATAAATAAATATGATAATAAATTGTTTCATGAGGGATCAAAAAGTTGTTAGAATATAAAATTTATATTTTTTAAATATCAATAAGGAGAAATTGTTATTAATAAAGTGATATTAGTATTATTTAATAATATTTATATGATTTAAATTTTATCTGTTATAATTATAAAATTAAGCTCTAATTTATGAACTTATATATAAATCAAAATTACATTAATTTAAAAATATTTAAACAATGATTTCATTAAAATTGTTACTCTAAGCCTTCTCCAATCCAATTTATAAATCAAGTCAAGTTAATCTAAATGTTAATATAATTAAAATTATTACATTTTATATTATTATTAATAAAATTACTTGTATCAATGATTTTTATTTATTTACATATAAATACTTTTATGCTAATTATGTATTAAAATTATATTTAGTAAAACATAAGTAGAAATATTGACTGTTTTTATATTTTATTATATGTAATATTTGAATGTTGACTGATTTTGTATTTTATTATAAGTAGCAATATTTAATTTCAAAATATTAAGAAAATTCATTTAATAAATTTATTTTTCTTTTGACTAAATTTTAATTAAATTTTTTAATTCATGCAATTTTTTTTTCTTCTCAAAATTTTTATTTATGGTGAATTTTCTATATATAAATATGATAATAAATTGTTCAATGAGGGCCAAAATATTAAAAATATTTAATATCAAAATATTAAGAAAAATAATTTCATAAAATAATTTTTCTTTTGACTAAAATTCAATCTAATTTTGTATATCATATGAATATATATTTTTTTCTCAAAATTTTTATTGACAATAATTTTTTTATATATATAAATATGATAAAAATTGTTTCATGAGAGTCAAAGAAT